CTGATGGTGATGATGACTGACGATGTTCATGATGCTGCTGCTGACGACGATGACGATGCGGATGATGGCGATACGGATGCTGATGATCATGCCGACGAGTACACCAGTGACAGCGATGCCAACGACGAATACAAATACGAAACATGATGATGATGCTAGAGCCTGATAGTGTTGACGATGACCCTGATGTTTCTGATGATGATGTTGCTGTTGCTGATGATTGTGGTGCTGATGGGTGACGTCGGTAATGATGATGCTGCTTATGATGCAAATGATGGTAATGTTGATGATATTGTTGGTGAGGGTGAGGATCATGATGATGTCGGTGACGATGCTGATGCTGTTGGTGATGATGATGATGATGATGTTGATGCTGACGGTGGTGATGATGGTGGTGATGCTGACGATCATGATGCTGATGACGATGATGATGATGTTACTGATGATGATGATGATGATGATGATGATGATGATGATGATGATGACGATGATGACGATGTTGATGATCATGACGATGAGGAGGAGGAGGCGTTTGCTGGGTATGACGAGTATGGTGGTGATGAGGTTGATGCTGATGATGATGCTGATGCTGATGATGATGCGGATGAAATGATAGGAAAGAGCGTGTTCTACCGCTGCTGGCGGAAAACAGGGGGGGGGGGTCATTACCGGTTCGAACCCCTGCTCATCATGAAAAGGGGGGGGGTCATTGCCGGTTCGACCCCCCCCTCGAAAAAATGGGGGGGGTCACTACCAGTTCGAACCCCCCCCCCCCTTCGAAAACCGAGGGGGGGTGCGGTCAGTGGTGGGGACGGTGGTGGTGGGGACAGTGGCGAGGGGACAGCGGGACAGTGGTGGGGACAGTGGTGGGGACAGTGGGACAGTGGAGGGGACGGTAGTGGTGGGGACAGTGGTGAGGACAACGGTGGGAACCGTGGGGACAGTGGACAGTGGTGGGGACGGTGGTGGTGCGGACAGTGGTGTGGGGACAGTGAGAACGAGGTGGAAACAGTGGGACAGTGGAGGGTACAGTGGTGGTGGGGACAGTGGTGAAGGCGGTGGCGAGGCGAGGACGGCGGTGGGACAATGGGACAGAGGTACAGTGGGGACAGTGGTGGGGACAGTGGTGGGGACAGTGGTGTGGACAGTGGTGGGAGCAGTGGGACAGCTCAGTGGGACAGCGAAGGACTTAGTGGGACAGTGGCGACAGTGGGGATAGTCGGGCAGTGGTTGGGGCCGTGGAGAAAGTGGGGAGAGTGGAACCGTGGTGGGAACAGTGGTGGGGACAGGGGGGACAGTGCGACAGTGGTGGGGGCACTGGTGGGGACAGTAGGGACGGTGGTGGAACCAGTGGGGACAGTGGTGGTGAGGACAGTGGTGCTGGGAACAACAGTGGGGGATGTGGTGCGGACGGTGGTAGGGACCGGGAGTCGTTTGCTGGCGGTGAGTGGGGAAGGGGTTCGAACCGGTAGTGACCCCCCTCCGGTTTTCGAGGGGGGGGGGGAATGGGGGGTTCGAACTGGTAGTGACGCCCCCCGGTTTTCGAGGGGGAGGGGGGGGGTAGGGGAGGGGGGTTTTTGCCGGGGGAGGGGAGGGGGGGGGTCCAGCAGGGGGGGGGTGGGGGATTTTCGGAGGGGAAGGGGGGGACCCCCAGGTTCCGGAGGAAGAGGGCGGCACTTTTCCACAGTAAAGCGGCGGTGGATCACGCTCTCTCAACGATAGCGATGCTGATGTTGCTGATGCTGATGCTGAGTTTGATGCTACTGGTGATGATGATGATGATGATGAGGCTGCTGATGACGATGATGAAAATGCTGCTGACGATGATGATGATGAGGAGGAGGAGGAGAAGGAGGAGGAGGATCATGATGATGATGATGATGATGATGATGATGATGATGATGATGATGATGATGATGATGATGATGATGACGATGACGATGACGATGACGACGATGACGACGACGATGCTGATGAGCAAGAGGAGGAGGGGGGATGACGAGGAGGTGGAGGAGGAGGAGGAGGAGGAGGAGGATGAAGCGAGATCAAGCTGGCCAGAACGGATCACGACGCCCTTCGGTTTCGTACCGTGGGAATTGTGGCCGCTTCGGGCCGTCCCCGAGCCGATCCAGAGCTCCAGGAAGTCCCGATTGGGACTGCAAACTTCTCGCACGAGCTGATCTCTGCACTGTAGCTGAGGGTGGCCCGTCCGAGCCTGTGTCAACAGAACCTGCTGCCACTGCCGATTTTGGGCTCCAGCTTCGCCCCCCGCTTCTCACAGGAGGCTTGCTTCTGAGCCCCCGATGAATTGCAGCCCTGCACTTGCAGGGCTGCCCCCCTGCCCTTCCGCGCACGAGTTGATCCCAGCGTTGTAGTTGGTGCCATTCGCTTCTGCACCTCGCACGCCCCGATCCCCGCACTCTAGCAAAGATCGAGACTCGGGCTCGAGCTTCGCCTTCCACTTCTCGCAGTGGTGTCGGAGCTGCCGCTGAGAGTACAGCCAGTGCCTGCTGCCACTGCTCTCACTCTCGCAGCGTTCTCGCGGTGAGCTGCGCCACAGTCTGCTCCCATTACTCACTCTGACCCAGCGCTGTAGCTGATGACGTCGGGCTCGACTGTCGCCTGGCGGCCACCAACGTCCCCCTTTGTGTTGTAGCTAATCGCGTTGGGCTCGACCTTCTCGCGAGAACCGCTCCCCGCGGTTTGCCCCGATCCCCGCTCTGTAACTGATCGCGTCGGGCTTGGACTTCGACTCCCACATCTCGCATAGCTTTCCTTCCACTTCTCGCAGTGGTGTGGGAGCCGTGCCAGTTTCGTCCAAGGGAGAAGGTGGAAGGAACGGGCTGGAAACCTCGTCGACTCCTCCCGCCTGTCGCAGGTGACATCTGGCTCCAACTTCGCCTCCCTCTTCTCACATCGCCTTCTCGCGTCGCACGGCCCTTTCCCGCAGCGCCAGCGTCCGCCGACATTGTGTGTCCTCTTCTCTCACGGGCGGCCCCCAGCGTTGCTGATCGTAGCCCGCCCTCGCTTCTCTAAGCGCCCGTTGTGGCTGCCACTGCGCGTCCCCTGTCTCGCACGGGCTGCTTCCAGCGTTGTGGCTGATCGTGGCCCACCCGCACGTTTTGCCTAGCGCCAGCGTCGGCTGCGACTGCGCGCCCCCTTTCTTGCACTGGCTGCTCCCAGCGTTGCTGATCGTGGCCCACCCGCACCGTTCTCGCAGCGCCTGCTTCGGCTGCCACTGCGCGCACATCTCTTGCACGGACTGCTCCCAGTGTTGCTGATCGTGGGCCACCCGCGCGTTTCTTGAAGCGCCGGCTGCCAATTCGCGCCCCCTGTCTCGCACGGACTGCTCCCAGCGTTGTAGCTGATCGTGGCCCACCCGCACGTTTCGCTCAGCCTACCTCGAGCCTCTCGCGATCCAGCCAGAGCCTGCTGCCACTGCTCGCCCTTCTCGCACGCGCTGGCTTCAACGCTGTAGCTGAGGACATCGGGCTCTAGCTTCATCTCCGTGTCCCGGAGTACAGCCACAGCAGGCTGCCATTGCTCGTTGTTCTCCCACGTTCTGATTTCGGCGCTTTAGCTGACAACGTCAGGCTGCATCCCTACTCTTTCCCGCTCGCGGAGCCAGGCCAGAGCCTACTGCCACTTCTCGCTCTCCTCGCACACGCTGATTCCAGCAATGTATGTGATGAAAGCGTCGGGCCCCTGCGCTTTGATGCCATTGTGCTGGTGCTCGCCAGGAGAAGGAGGAGGAGGGGGGCGCGATGACAAAGATGACATCAGTAATGGAAGACATCCTGGCCTCTCTGCGTTCGCCTATTCACGGCTACGCCACGGCTGGCGTTGTTTTTTCTTTGCGGCCCATGCTTCTCGATGGCGGGTTCCCCGAGGCAACATCGCTCCGAAGTCTGCAACAGGAACGCCCGGGCTGGCCCACGCAGGAATAGGCCACCCGGGCGCGGAACGGCTAGGAGGAGGATGAGGAGGAGCTGAAGGAGTAGGACGTCGAGGGCGAGGAGGAGGATGGGTAGGGTGATGGGTAGGGCGAGCGAGGAGGAGTAGCGGGGGGAGGAGGAGGTCGAGGTCTAGCATCACATGTTTGCCCGAAGTAAGGGGAGGATGAGGAAGGAAGGGGAAGGCCAGGAGAAGAACGGAGGAGGAGGAGGAGGAGGAGGAGGAGGGGCGAGAAGGAAGGGGGGGAAGAGGTGGTGGAGGAAGAGGAAGGCGGTTGATGATGACGACGACGATAAATGGTGGTGATGGTGGTGATGGTGATGTTGATGGCAATTTGACGACGATGATGATGATGACGATGACGATGATGATGATGATGATGATGATGATGATGATGGTGATGATGATGAGGATGAGGATGAGGATGAGGATGAGGATGAGGGTGAGGATGAGGGTGATGATGATGATGATGATGATGATGATGATGATGATGATGATGATGATGATGGTGCTGGTGATGCCAATGACGATGGTGTTGGTAATGGTGCTGATGCTGATTGCGATGATGATGCTGACGATGTTGATGCTGATGATGATGATGATGATGATGCTGGTGGTGGTGGTGATCATGATGGCGGTGGTGATGAGGATGATGATCAGGAAGAGGAGGACGGGGAAGAGGATCACGATTATGATAGTGCTGACGATGATGGCGATGATGATGAGGAGCAGGAGGAGGAGGAAAATGACTGGGAGGAGGAGGAGGGGGAATGATGTTGACACGAGTCAGCCCCAAAGCGTCATGCCGTTTTGAAGTTTCCAGGGGCGAGCAGGGTATTATGATTTCTGAATTCCAGGATCCCAGAGAAGCTACGGACATCTCACTCTGTACCTACGTTAGGCCCAGAGGCGGCGTAGCGTAGTTCAGCTAGAATATTAAGTGATTGTCATGTTTCTGTTGTATGCGTTTTCTCACAGGCGTTTGTCACATTCGCGCCTTTATTACACGCGCGTTTCATCGGGTTCTCATTTGAATCATACCGGAGGTCGGTCTCGTCTGGGGCCGCATCGTCCCCCCCCCCTTGGACTGGACTGCCCACACCTCTGCGGCGCCGCCAACTGGCCTGCAGCTGGACCGTCGGCACTCCTCCTCTTCCGTTGGGTTACGATGCAGGCCGGCGACCTCCCTCGGGCCGCCCCCCTGCGGCCAACGCGGGCGTGATGGTGACCGTTGCTGGCTGCTCGGGCGGCCCTTTGGCCGCAGCTTCTCCTGCTTCCTCTTCCTTCCTCCGCCCCCTGGCCCTTCATGCCGCCTCCTCCCTCCTGGTGCCCATACCAACGCAGGGGGCAACGATAGGGGGGGATGGGCGCGGGGGGGGTCGCGTCGACTCGCAAGCGCCCATTCATCCCGGATAGGAGCCCGATTGCACACCCCGCCCTGGACCTTGTGGATTCGTTATCGTGCTTTTGTTCGCCGATGTATCGGCAATGTACCACCAATCCCATGTCAATGTTTCCCCCCTGACCTGGTCCCCTTTATCATTGCCCCTGAAGTAGACTCGCGCTATCCCTGTCAGCAAGAAAGATAATGCGGCGTCCATAGTCAAAAATCACGTCTGCTATAGCATCGATGGCTGACTGCAAGGCCTTGCACACGCATTGGAGATCTTGTTAAACCGACGAAGGCTTGTACATTCAGCGCCGATAGCATCATGGAGGTCGCATCTACCTCGGAATCTGGCAAAGGGCGAGAACATGCGGACGAGGTGAACGCCTTCAAGTCAGTGGGCTTTGTGATCGAAGATCTTTGCATCGGCGTAGCCCTCTACGAGAGTGTGCGGAAAGAGCCCGATGGGACATTTCTGACGATATGCAACGGCTGGTTGATTCTGGTGGTGTTTCAATGTCAGTTGCAGCTTAGTTGCTTAGTTACTCATTTGAGAGTTCGTTGCCGTCCTCCTCTCAGACAGCATGCATGCTTCTAGCACACTGCATATTTGATTGCATCGCCTTCGCCGCCAGCGAGGCGTTCCGGTCCGTTCCGTTTCTCTCCGGCTTGGCCAGATCAAGTTTTCACAATGTTATCCCAGCTTGTTTCTCCCGAGCACGGGGTTCAGTCTCCCGTCCTCTCCCCTCTCCTGCCCTTACATCCCATCCCCTCCCCTCTCTAGCTCTTTCCCTGCCCCTCTTCTCTTCTTCACCTACCCTTCCCTCCCCTCTCCTGCCCCTACTGCTCTTCTGCAGCATTCGGCCCAGGCGCAACTGAATAAAGCCTCCCCGAGAACGCCCCAGCTTGGTGCTCCTGAGGAGCCATGCCGGCTTTCATGGGGATCAATGGCTTCGGCCGTATCGGCCGTCTCGTGACCCGTGCGGCGCTCCAGAACCCCGAGGTGGAGGTAAAGGCCATCAACGACCCGTTCATGGACCTTAAGGATGTCGGGGAGGGAGCGAGGAGCGAATGAAATAAGAAGTCGGAAGGGACTAGGAGGACTTGGATGAGGATAGGGATGAGGATGAGGATGAGGATGAGGATGATACTGATGCTGATGATGATGTCGATGATGCTACATTGATGATGGTGATGGTGATATTCATGATGCCGATGATGGTGATGATGGTGATGCTGATGCTGATGCTGATGCTGATGCTGATGCTGGTGATGATGGTGCAAATGATGCTGATGATGATGATGTTGATGATAAGGATGATGATAAGGATAATGATGATGCTAATGATGCTAATGATGATGATGATGATGATGCTGATGCTGATGATGATGATGATGATGATGATGATGATGATGATGTGATGATGATTGTGATGGTGATGGTGATGATGCTTATGATGGTGGTAATGATGATGGTGACGGAACTGTTGATGACGATGTTGACGATGCGGTTGATGGTGTTGTTGACAATGATGATGACGATGGTGATGATTACCATGATTGTGATGCTGATCATGCTTACCATGACGATCAAGATGACGGTGCTGATGATGATGACGATTCGGATGATGATGAAGATGGTGATGCTGGTGATGTTGGTGACGATGATGATGACGATGCTGTTGCTGATGATGATGGTGAGGATGACGATGGTTTGATGATCATGATGATGGTGGTTATGATGATGATGATGCTGATGATGATTAGTATGATTATCATGGAGATGATCATGATGATGCTGCTGCACATCGTGATGACGATTATAGTGATGATGATTATGCTAATGATGATGACGATGATGGTGATGATGCCGATGGTGGTGGTAATGATGATGGTGTTGGAACTGACGATGACGATGCTGACGATGCGGCTGACGATGTTGCTGACAATGATGATGAGGATGATGGAGGTGATGATGATCATGAGTGTGATGATGATCATGATTGCCATGGCGATGCAGATGACGGTGCTGATGATGATGAAGATGCGGATGATGATGATGATGATGATGATGACGATGGTGATGCTGGTGATGCTGGTGATGCCGGTTACGATGGTGATGACGCTGCTGCTGATGCTGATGAGGATGGTGGGGATGATGATGGGGCTGATGATGATGATGATGATGGTGGTTATGATAATGATGCTGATGATGATAATGATGATGATGATGGTGATGGTGATGATGATGATGATGGTTAGTATGATGATCATGGTGATGATCATGATGATGTTGTTGCGTATTGCGATGACCATTCTAGTGATGATGATGTTGTTGCGGATGATGAAGATGTCGATGATGATCATGGTGGAGATGGTGGTTCATGATGGTGATGATCATCATGACTATGTGTATGATGATGGTGAGAAGTTGATGGTAATGTTGGTGCTGGTGCTCATGATGATAGTGACGGTGCTGATGAGCGGGACGAGGAGGAAGAGGAGGAACATGATTACGAGCAGGACCGTGAGTCGGTGGAGGAGGAGAATGAGGAGGATGAGGTGGAGGTGGAGGAGAAGGAGCAGGTGGTCGAGGAGCCAGGGTAGGCGGAGGCAGAATCCGTGAAACACTTACAGTGCCGAATATTGTAGCCATTGTGATTGGGCGGTCTAGAGGTGCAGAATCCTCGAAACAGGTCAGATGTATTGATGCTTCGGATTTCCCGCTAGCCCATCCAATGACGATGCCCAGGGGAGCTGCCTTTATCGGTGGAGCTTGGCATCACTTGGAGAGCTCAAGGAGCCTCTGTAGGACAGAGGCCTTTTGGGTACCTCTCGGAGTCTCTTGGGATGCATTTGTTTGGCGCCTCTTGGCTGCCTCTTGGGCGTCCTTGGAGGCCTGTTGGGGAACAACCCAAGCTATCAGCATCGCCTAGCGGATGTTTGAGTCGGCCCAGAAAAGTCACCCATAAGGTTTAATCGCGATATTGTTGGATTGGTGAAAAGCTCGCGACAGGGTCAAGCATGACACTCTTGGGAGCTCTTCGCAGATTCGCAGATCTAGTGGACATGCTTGCAGCAATCTACCGCCACAAGACTTTTGTATTAAACGACCCAGCCGAAGACTCCAGCGAACGACACCAAGCGGCGAGAGTCGCACAGAGCTGCCCTCAATCTCCTTATCTTTTTATAATAATTCAGAGTGTTATGTTCGACGTCATCGGCAGCGTAATGGCTGGGCTTCACACCGACGTTTAAGGGCCAGACTATTTGATTCGTGGGGGGGCTTCTCGATGTTGACGGCACAATGCTGCTGAGCAGCTGTTCAGAGGAACTACAAACACTGCTGAGCACAGTCATCGACGAAGGCGGACGATATGGATTGAAACTGACTTGGGGCAAAACCATATTCCCGCGTACACATACGGGTACGATCGTTTCTTCAGCCAGGACGTCACTCAACATGGTGGCTCAAGCTGTATACCTTGGAGGGCTACTGAACGCACATTGCGTAGCTAAGCCAGAAGTGGCTCGGAGAGTCGGTGAAGCTAGGCAATGTGTTCAAGGTCCCGGCTTCGGTCGCACGCCAACATCTGCCGTTCAAGGAAAGCCGCTGGTACAAGGTGATTGTTGTACCCTAAGCCGTTCTACAAGTTAGAAACCCCATGGCTATTGCAAACTGCTATAGATCGCGCTGACCGTTTCCATGCGCAGCGCTTGCGGCGAACTTTGAGAACTCCGAGCGCAGATGTCCCAATAGTATCGAATAAAAAGGTTCTGGAGCGCGCGGGGGAACTTCCGCTGAGCTCTACGTTGCGCGAGCGGCAGACCAGAATGTATAATGAAGATCTCAGCGCTCCCCGATCGCCATCATCTGAGACTCTTGTGAATTGCGTGCCTCGTACATACCTTCCCGGACAGTGGGAAAGCACGCGCTGCCGCGGGAGGCCTAAATAGCAGTGGGCCTTTTGTTTGTGTTCACGGGATGTTGCCTTAGCATTGGTTGTTACTTCAATTCCCTTATCCCCCCTTTTGCTTCCCCTCCCTCCACAAACGGGCGCCGCCAATGTTTGAATGAACTCTTTATTTGCCAATGCATCGTGCAAGCGTTGGGCTTTGCTTGTTTTCTTGAGGCCTCTGTGGGCCAGAGGCCGTTTGGATGCTTCCTGGAGTCTCTTGGGGTGCCTCTTCGGGGCTTCGTGGATGCTTCTTCGGACGTCCTGGGGAGCTGTTGGGGCCGCTTGGGTGCGCCTCGTGGGGCCTTCATGGCTCCGTCTTGGGTTCTCTTTGTTGGGCCGTATTGGGACCATCTTAAAGGCTTTCAAAAAACGGTGGTGGCGTTAATGTGGGTCGCCCCACCCCCAGAAAACCAGCATAGACCCAACACCTATGACACATGAGCGTTGTTGTTTTCTCACTAATGCCATCTTTTGCGCTCCAACCGCTCGCGAGTGCCCCCGTCGAGACCGATGGGGGAGGGGGTATCGGGGCAATCCCCTTCCCGAAGGGGAGGACGGGGTAGGATGGACGAGGAACCGCCCTGAACCACCTCAGCGCAGAGGGCTGGTGGGATCCTGAGGCCGGAAGTGAAGATCCCTTGGAGCGCTCAAGAATTTTGAGGCGCGCCGGAGGGTCGGAGTCCTCAAGGCCCCCCGCGCGGGATCCGTTGTTGCTTGAGCCGAGGAGGGGGGGCCTGGAGAGTCCCCAGGGCATCTTCGTCAGTCCAGGGGGGCGCGGGCATCGACGGACGCACCTCGAGCAGGAACGCCCGAGGTGGGCCCGTTCAGGGCTTAGGGGAAGCACCAGCTGTAGTGAGGATATGCCAGGGACGCGGTGCCGCCTTCATCCCCGTCTCCTCCCCGCGCCGACCTCTCATTCTGACTTTGAAAATGCATCAAGTACATGGTGTACCAGCTGAAGTACGACTCCGTGCACAAGAGTTACCCTGGCACCATTGCCACCAAGGAAGCCGACGGCAAGGAATTCCTGGTCGTTGACGGAAAGGACGCCGCTTCTGTTCCCAAAGAGGGGGGTCGAAAGGGAATGCGGAGGAGGATGCAGATTGTGGCGGGGGTCAAGGACGGTTGATTTGGTGGGCGGGTGGGTGGGGAGGGATAGAAAAGCAGAGCAATTGGGTGAGAGCAGACAGGGAAGGCCTTCCCTCTCGCTTCCATTTCCTTCTTTATTTCTCTCTTTCTCTCTCTCTCTCGCTCTCTCGTCGTCCCCCCTCTTGCCTCTTTCTCCGCCCCTTTTCCCGAGGCCTCCCCAGTGAATTCTGATGCGTAGATAACCGCCTTGCCCGCATCAGGCCACCTCTTTTTTCTTGCTCCGCCCCTTCCCGAGGCCTCCCCAGTGAAGTCAGATGCGTAATTCACCCGCCTTGGCCGCCGCAGTGCGGCCACGACGATCAGTTGAAACGGGATTTGG